GGTGTCAGCGATGGCAAATATACTCGAGGACTTGGCCAGCAGCAGATGAGTTTTTGCGCCGATCACGAGGATATTGCATCCATTTGCTTGACCGTTGTCTCCAGTTTACTTCGAAATTATGCGGTAATCTCGAACATAACACGCTGGCTCTCTTTTAAACTCAAATATATCTCTGGCAGTTACAGTTTGCTTTCCGCAAAAATGCACCTGTTGCTGTTGTTTTTGCGAAGTTTCTCGGTGTGAAATGCTGGGCGGCGACCTGCTGCCGTCCATCATCGGTTCATCGATCCTCTGTCAAAATGCGCTTTTTGTTCCCTCTTTGCCGATGGATACTGTTTACTGCTACTTGAAATGCTGCTGTGAAGTCAGAAGTCAAGTAAGTTTGTGATAAGAAGTAACCCTTTACAGATTCCCGTCGCCGATGTTGGTTTTTTGTGTGTTGGAACCGAAACGCAAATTGATAAAAGCAAAAGTGTGAAGACGACACTGATGAGACTTTTTGGTGGCAACTGTGATATTGAAGGAACTGATGTCAAGAATGCTTGTTTTGGTGGCACGCAAGCTTTGTTTCATGCCATTGATTGGGTTTATGCGAACTGGGAAGTGGACCGTGAGTCATTCTTTGTTCTCATCACTTTTCTGTGGTCCATTTGAGTATTTTCTGTTAAAAAAAGCCATTTGTGTTCGGGCACAAATCAGAATCGCATTATGGTAAAATTATATCTGTGTGTGTTCAGATTTATCAGTTTGGAAGCACCAAAGGTAGATGACAAGTTAATTCGTGTGGAGCCATCACAAACCTGGATTGCACTCTCATCTTTTCCTACAACTTCGATCTCAAATTGAAAATTTTAGTGGAATGTTGTGGAGAAGGCAAGGATAACGTTATGAACTCGAAACTTCGAGGGTTCGATGTGTTGGGCAGTGCAAAGTGCGTAGCCTGAAGTTATCTTTTATTTTTTTTTTTTCTGTGTTAAATTTCCAGAGCTAGGGAAATAAATGCATGCCTGAAATTCTTCGACATTGATTTACAGCACGGTGCAGTGTAATTTCAGATGAGCTCTAGGATTTCAAAATGGATAGCTTCAAAACTATGTTTAACACGAATGTAAAATTCTGGTGAGCTGCAAAGCACCGAACCAACCAAGCATTATTATAACGATGCACCCTTGTCTTTTATATATGCCATACTATCTTTACATTTTGCGCAGCAGATAATCGCAAAAAACATGAATGCCTAGGCTCTCTGATTCTTATTATGTAGTTTTTTTTTTTTTTTTTGAGGCAAAGTTTGAATCGTTCCTGTGTCCTCATGCTTGCTGCCTCCAATCACTTTTCTGTTGGTTTATGATA